ATGCTACATAAAAAATCACCAAAGAAGGTTTGTAGTAATTGATGAATAACATTATAATCCGGTCTCTTAAAATGCTTAGTAATAATATATACCATTTTACAAAAATTTGTAGATTCTTGCAATCGATGATGGTACTTTTCCTGTTTTATTAAAGATTCTTTCAGATCCATGTGAAGATGTAAATTCAATTTATTTTATGCAAAATTTACATTTTATTTATGTGATACTAATAAATTTTAACTTAGGTTGTTAAACGAGACCTTCAGCTCCTCGCGCAGCTGTCATCAAGTTTTGAAGATGAAAACTTTACACGTTTTATGGGGGATTTATTAAGATCATTTAGTACAGATCGGAAACTGCTTGAATCAAGAGGTAGCCTAATCATTCGTAACCTATGTGTAAGCCTTAATTCAGAACGTATATACTGTAGCTTTGCGGAAATTCTTGAGAAAGAAGAGGTATGACAAATGTATCGGAATAAGTTATTAATTTCTGTCATTCGTGGGGAGCGGTTAATCTAATGATTTTCATTCCTATATTGTTGTAGGATATCGAATTTGCTTCCAGCATGGTTCAAAACCTTAATAGCATTCTCATTACTTCCCCTGAGCTTTCGGATCTGCGAAAGAGACTCAAAAATCTTGAAACAAAAGATGGTCAAACGTTATTTACAATTTTATACAAGTCTTGGTGCCATAATCCGGTGGCTACGTTCTCGCTTTGTCTATTGGCACAGGCATACGAACATGCAGCTAATTTATTGCAAAGTTTGTATGTGCTATTTATTCTGAAAGTCTCTAATATAAGTGACCCCTCCGGTAAAATTTCCAAAAACCCATTTCGGAATTACAAGGCCACTGTATCACGTGGATCGTACCACATAGTTATGGTCAAGTATAAAGTGAATTAATCTGAGTTTAAATTGATTGGCTAGTGATTCCGACATACGATTCCGGAACTTTTTCCGGAAGGGCCACCTATATTAGACTTGATTCGAATGTTTTTTTTTTTTTGTTTATTTTTCTGTGCTGCATGCCTAACAGATTTTTGTTTTACTTGCTAGTGCTGACTTAGATATCACTGTCAATTTGTTAATTCAGATAGATAAACTAGTCCAATTACTTGAGTCGCCAGTCTTTACATGTATACTATTATTATATATTTAATGCTACATATATCCATAATTATGACCTTATATAGTAATACCTTTTAATGACAACAGATTTACGCCTACAACTTCTCGAGCCAGATAAATACCCATATCTTTTTAAATGCCTTTATGGGTTGTTAATGCTCTTGCCACAAAGTAGTGCATTTGCCAGTTTGAAAAATCGACTGACTAGTGTTTCGTCGATGGGATTTTTACATTTAATTCCGAGAAGGTAAACGCCCTTTTTGGATTATTGAATTCCCCTTTCCTTATTTAATTGCTTGTCTTTATATAATTTTTTAGTGCGTCACAAACTGATACTAAACGGCCATCATCAAAATCATACGGAAAGGACGATGGCATTAAGTTTCAAGATCTATTAACTCATTTTCGGACGGTGCAAGCAAAGCATGAGAAGACCAGAAAACAAGGTGATATATAAAACACATGTTTTATTAAGTCTGTATCTCACTCATTTTCATAAATCTAACTCTTATCTGGTTTATTATTATTGCTATTATTATTATTATTATTGTTACTTTATTGCCACATAATTAATTTGTAGCTCAGAACTCTGGTTCTGTCAGTCAACCTACTCGAAGTCGTCGTATTCGCGGTGATCGTACATCGATTCCAGCAAGCAGTAGCAATTTGTCGCAATCAACGACATCAATATCCAATAAGAACAATAGTGGATCCACTGATCAACGTGGGAGTGCAAGCACCAATAGCGCAAATGTTAATACTGGAACTTCTGGGTCACTGCAGGCAGACCAACCCAAGAGACGGCTGAGCGCGGCCAGTTCAACTAGTGTTACAAGTGATCATGGATCTGGAAGTACCTATTCACGCTCTCAGAGTCCACCTGTAAATGTCAAGCGTGGTACATCGGTCAAAAAATAAAAATCCGTATATTTATTAAACGTTTTTAATATCCGGATATTGGTCAAAAAATTAAATGAATATCCAATATATTCATTAAATATTATTTAGTATATAATGAGCTTATAACAAATTTCTGAATTTTTCTTCTATTTTTTTTAATAAGAATTTTTTCTTTTTTTTTTGTTTTTAAATAAACAAGAGTTATGATACAGATTAATAAATTATTTTTATATTTAACTAAATTAATATGATTTTATCTCATCGACTTTCATATGATTGGCTATTTAATTTTATATTATTTTATTCAGTTTAAAGTATCTTTAAAAAATAAAACTACAAGGAATAAAAAAATACAGTTGACTCGTTAATATCAACCTCGTTAATATCAACCTCATTAATATCAACCAAACAAAAAAATATTAAACTTTCATCGTATATACCAACTTTAATATGATCCCTCATTAATATCACTAACATAGTAATCCAAATAAGTTGACTTCAGTATAGGAAGTTTTATTAGGGTTGTATGACTTCACTATTAAAAATAATCAAAATTCATGTTAACTTCCCTAAAATAAAAAGGAATTGTGATTATTTTTAATTGTAGAATTCTACAACTCTAATAAAGCTTTCTATATATACTTCTTTTTTTTTTTTTATTTGTAGTTGGATTTTTTTTAAAATCAGTGTGATTTCGTCGCTATATATGATATTAATATTTTTTCTTGGCAAAAGTGATCGGTGTTACAAATTGTAACGCGCTTGATTTTATGTCAGTACAAAGCATTTTAAGAGACCGGATTATAATGTTATTCATCAATTACTACAAACCTTCTTTGGTGATTTTTTATGTAGCAT